AAGTTATGTGCCTGTTTAGTACAATAGCCCTAGACATGCTGTAAAACTAGCTCAGTGGGAGCTGGTTCGAAATTTGCTACAAATATCAGTAACATAGCACTCATTCCATAGCAAAGAAATTATGAGATCTTACTTTATAAATTATGTAGTTAAATTATCTAATTGTATTTAAATATCTTAACGAGTACTGGATCCTAGCACAAATTTGGACTATGCTCCGTATTGATGATTGCATAATACTGGGTCAGGAACCAGAAGCCGCATTTGGCCTTTGAATACTGGAGGCTGCACTCTGATAAGAGGGTGGACTGATGCAAAGAGTGGGCAGGACCAGGACCCAAACAAAATGGAATGGAATGGAATGTCAAATATCAATTAAATGTAGTTAATTAAATCTCATCAATAGGATTAGTCTCCATATATTACTTTTTTCCTGTTGTCATATAAAAATTGCAGCTTTTGGAAACGGTTAGGTCAGTGGTTCAGATTATACCCCTCTGTTCTTACAGACTTTCATTTATACAGTAATTCATCTCCAATGAACAACTTTTAGACTTCCGAATTTTGAATTGTGTTTATAGTAGTAATATTGTTCTTAATATCTTTCATTATGTAAATAGAACCCTGTATTATCTAGGTACTGTATATGCGGTTTTGTTTGGGGGTTTAAAGTATATTGGGGTGGGTGCAGTGCTATGTCGTTCTATCACGTTACTAAATGATGGTCAGGTTGCAGTTGTCCTTTGTTTGAAATTATTTGACTATTTTCAACTAATTACAATGAAATATCCTGCAAATATGCAGCTCAGGTGTACAGAATGGATTATTTCATAAAGGATGATGCTTTGTTGGCAAAATATTTTAAAGGTTTAAATATTATAAAAGTACTGTGCTCTTGTTGCATCAGTCTAATGGAAAAAATAAATGTGTGGGAAAATGCTGAATTTGTAAACGAATTTTAAAGCCCATCTGCTTTGGCTTTAAAAAAAGGGTCGAACCAATTCATAAAAGTCATGGGGATCAATGGCTATTAGTCTTGATGGCAGGGTGACTGTCTCTGAAGGCCATCTGCTGGGAGACTAGTGGGCTTCCTTGTGCAGCTGGTTGGCCACTGTGGGAACAGACTGATGGACTAGATGGGCCAGGGGTCCGATCCAGCAGAGCACCGCTTTTGTTCTTATGTTTGACATTTTACCAAATGGCTTTTAATTTTAGCTTGTCTTATTATCTAAATATTTACAAGGAGTTTAAGGTATTTGGTTTGCTGAACCATCTTTAAGAGAGATACATATTTAGATATTTTCATAGGTTCACTGCTTTGTCTTGGTCCCTAGCTTGTCTTATTATCTAAATATTTACAAGGAGTTTAAGGTATTTGGTTTGCTGAACCATCTTTAAGAGAGATACATATTTAGATATTTTCATAGGTTCACTGCTTTGTCTTGGTCCCTATAATTAAACTTTTGTTTTTGTTTTTGTTTTTGTTTTGTTTCGTTTCGTTTGTATGCTGCCCAGTCCTGAA